CCATCCTGGTCTTTTTTAATTAACGGGAACAACTTGTTAACTGTCTGATAAAACTCTTAATTAAAAATTATTATTTTTTTTTGTCTTTTATAATATATAATAATAATAACACATTCAAAACAAAAGACTATACAAGTTATTTAACTGATTTGTAACAAAAAAAATATTTCTAACTTTTATGTTAGTAGAAATCCGTAAGCTGGTATATTTTTCTAGTGAAGGACGTGTAGGAATAACTTACTTCCAGAAATAACCAGAACAAAGTATGTTAAAAGTTTATTATGTTATACTTGCCGAAAAGACTGTTACATTGTTTTTTCCAATGCAAAAAGTCTTGTTATAGACGAACGTTTTCCAAACTCGCTCGTCTAGTAAATATCAAACGTCACAAAGGGGATCCAAATGAAGAACCCGTCCCACGACGAGCCCCGGGGCTTAAAAAAAAAGCCCCGGGGCGTAAAAAACCTTAGGATGCACCTCGTTCTCTCTCCTCGAACACCTAATTAACAATAACTATAGCATGTAATTGTTTCATAGAACATGTAATTTTTTCATTATTTCATGTCACATATGTGACATGAATAATGAAATTAAGTTTGACAGTAAGGGAAGAATCAGTACATCCGGATGTAAGGACAAGGAAAGTAACTGTTCAAATTTGGCCAGTGGACCTGATGTCGGTATCATTTATGGACGACGGTTGGGACACGTACATTTTCCTTATAAATAAAATATTAGGTCATCGTCATCAGCGACATGTTTGTCTTGTTTGTTTGTTTTTTACAAAACAATCAGAAAGAAATTACTTTTACAATTACAAGAAATAACAAATGGGATTTTACAGGTCCTGTTCGTAACCATTCATGATTTGGCTCCTAAACAATACTTTCAGTTTAGATAGACTTGTTCAATATTTCAGTGCATCATTACAGTTATTCCACAGACTAACACCTTTTGATGAGATGCAATGTAGTTTGGCATTTGTTCTCATCTTAACCAAACTTCAATGTGCAAAGTTTATTTTGTGGACAGATGTGTTGTGCTTAGTAAAGATGAGGATAGAGAAAAAAGGTGTGTCAATCATGCCAGAGGTACTCTTTTTATTACCACAACGTAACTTTATCTTTCAGATCAGATTTAACATTCCTTACCTGTAGTGTATACCAGAAGGTGAGTGTGAGCGAGCTGGTGGTCTCGTTGACCGGGTAGTGGCCGGGGATGCCCGTACAAAACATGATCATGTTGACTAGAGCCAGGAAGCCCTGCCAGTGATCCACCTGCTCCAACAGAGTCCTGCAGAGAGAGGTGGATGGAGGAGAGAAAGAAAAAGAGTCATTTGGCTTACTCTAAACCCTTCACAGCAGCTAATCAAATTCTCCATTGAAGTTCCTCTAAAGAAACGTTCTTACGCTGCGTCATTCAGGCAGTAGACATAGCAACATTTAAAGACCTAACAATACAGAAGTAGAGAATGCACAGTGTCTACTTGGGACAGAATATTGCATGACAAATTCATGTTAGGAAACCTGTTTATAGTAGGCCTTTTTGTTAGGATTAGTTTTCTAAACTGGAAACTGGAACTGTTCCCGAAATCATTAAGGCCATGATAAAAGCAAACACTATAAAGTCTTTATAATTGTGTCCACACACACCTGGAGTGGTTTTCTCCCAGCGTTACGGCGATCCGGCAGATACCGTGGCAGGTCTCCATGTCCCCGCTCTGAACTGCCTCTCTGAGCTGCTCCTGGAGGGCCAGCACTCGAGGAACCAGCTTCAGCAAGGTGTTCACATATCTACAAAACAAAAAAACAAAAAACAACAGACATGAGTTAGTTCATTGAACCCTGATACTAGCTACGTAGTTTAACATACAGGGAATTCAAACTGAATTCTCTGGTAACCCCAAGAGTTACCAATTGGAAGAAACAACCATCAAAGCAACATTTAAGCTTATATCTTCTTAAAGCATTGAAACACTATTAAATTAATGTAATCGGAAATGTTCTTTAACATTATTTTGGAAACGTTACAGCTATTTCTTTTATAGTGTAAAACTAAAAACAGACTGTCTTCTTCAAAATGACTCGCGCCTCTTACCGCCTGATAGTGTGTCATGTTTTTATTTTAATTAGGGCCCATGGCAATCATTTAACACACATATAAAACGAAAAAAAAAAAAATGATATGAACTTGTTACTAACAAATTGAGTGACAAGGAAAAATTAGAAACATCTGCTGGGACCCCAGTTGGTAGGATGAGGGTTTAAGAACATGAGTTAAAACATTGCACAGTGTGCTGTATAAGTGAGAAAAACATAGCATGCCCAGCCAGGCAGCTCCACTGGTGAACATCAAACTGAGTCACAGTGCTCACAGCTAGGTTGATATTTATTGCTCCTTCTCAAGACAAGTGTTTATCTCAAATCAAATCTCAGCCCGTGTCAGTCCTACCTCTGATCCAGCACACCCACCCTAAAAAACCCACACATCTTGCAGGGAACCAGGAAATCTATTCAAAGCTCAGAGCTGCTGTCAGTTATCATTCTGTCTTCGTCCTGCTGTCTCAGCCATCTATTATTCCTTCACTCTTAAACACACCCATGTGCTGACACACAAACGTAAATATGGACCCAATCACACACACACACACACACACACACACACACACACACACACACACACACACACACACACACACACACACACACACACACACACACACACACACACAGTCAGCCTTAATGACGGAGGATGAAGGGGTGACATTTGGAGATGAAGGACGTGTATGTGTGCCTGAATGTCACGGAGGAGGAGAGTGTGGAGGGTTGCAAAATTCCAGGAATTTTCAAAGATGGACATTTTCCATGGGAATTAACAGGAATGTAAGAGAATAAACGGGAATTTATGGAAATAAACTGGACATTTTCTAAATTGAAGGTTGGCTCTTCATAGGGAACTTAAATATAGTTGGGGGAAGTATATTTTAGCATAATCTTGACTAAAACAAACAGATGCCATTCAAATACACTTGAATAGCCCTGCTATTCCTCAATCACATGCACATAGCACACTGCTTACTGCAAGGCTATTGAGACGACACCCCCTACAGGCACTGTGCATTCCTCCATCACATAGTACACTGCTTACTGCAAGGCTATTGAGACCACACCCCCTACAGGCACTGTGCATTCCTCCATCACATNACCAATTTATTTGAATTGCAGATATATATTTTTTATTAATTTCATCTTTATTATATTCATAATTTTAGCTCAATCATTTTGAATAGAGCTTAACTCTCTTAAAAATTTCAACTAGACCCATATAATCTCAGATTTTTGTGGTTGCATTTACTCTCTTTAAAAAATTAAAATACTTCCAACCAACCCATTTTCAGTATACTAAGCTTGGATAATGTGTCAATACACTTTTTGTAAAGTCAGATCAATTTAGTAGTGTTGATTTCTACATAAAATATAAGAAACATACTGTGCTAATTTTATCGGTTCATATTAGTATTTATTTAGTGCCGCTATCTGTGACATGTCTCCATGCTTTAATGTTTCAAAAAGCTCTTTATTTTTTCTCATACTGCCTGTGCCTCAGCCACCTGTTTTCTCTTCTGTTTGTGATTGGTCAACCGCTTAGAGATGTGTCAGAGATGTCCCTACCCTAAGCATATACGGTAAAATGTGTTGAAATGTTTACATTATGATGTCACTGTGTTAATGGAAGTAAAGAAAGGAGTCCAATGGAGGTGTTTCAGGCACTTTGGTTGGGAACTTCGGGATTTTAGCCATTTACATGCACAAAAACCTATCGAACACAGGAAAGGAAAAGGAAAAGGGAGAATAGCGCTCCTTTAAGTTTCGTTTAGTTAAAGGTCCCATGTCATGGCCATTTCTACTGATCATAATTCCATTGTTGAGGTATACTAAAATAGATTTACATTGTTCAATTTTCCAAACTCACATTGGTTTCTCATACAGCATCTCTGTATAGTATGTGTATTCACTCTCTGTCCTACACGCCTTGTTGGAGCTTCTGCTCCCTCCTCCCTGTGAGCCCAGTGGCCGTCTGCGAGACAGCGAAACCCAGCCTGAAACCAGCTGGAAACCAGCCCGATCATACACACACACCTGCAGCCTGGCTGGGAGTTTGTGTGTGTGCTCACACACAGACTCACAGCCTTGCCGCGCCCCGCCGTCTCAGGCGGAGAAATCAGCGGAGCTGCAGCTGAGAAAAGATTAAGTGTGTGTGTGTGTGAGGAAGTCCGCAGATTGGTCCATTTGGACCGATCCATGGACGTAACGTAACGGCTCCACGGATTGGTCCATTTGGACCAATACACGGACTAAACGTAACGGCTCCGCGGACGTAAAGTAACGACAAATACGTCACTATACCCAAGAAGAAAACAATGGAAAAAGAGAAATGTCCAACGAGGCGTTCTGGGGCAGCATAGACAGGTCTTTTCTGTTAGAGTTTTACTCGCTACAGGGTGTACTTTGAGGGTTTGTGACTCTGCAGACCATTTACATGAATAAAAAGCTACATAACACACAAGGGGATGGGTAATAACCAGAAAAGCATGTCATGGGACCTATAAAATTATTAGCTCTACTTTTGATACATTCAAATAAAACAAACAAAAACTTATTTTATTATTTTATAACAAAATGTAGTACGACCATCAATTTAAAAACGAAAACATATATTTTTTCTTTAAGTATCCTCCTGTATTTTGACCAGGTGATACGTCCCTGGTCCATCTGAATGGATTTATTCCTGCCTAGTCAGCAGGCGAGGCACAGTAGTTAGTGCCTTGGGGAGCGGCACAGATGTATGACAGAATCCCCCGCTCCCTGTACCCTTCTCTCAATGAGGATTTCAGTCCTGCTCACTGAAGGTGGAAAGGCTTTAGCAGCTACTTCTGACAGGGTTGTGTTCTCCTGACAGTGATCCGCCAGCTGTCTGTCACTTTGATTAATCTCTGCCTTTGGAGCGCTTCATTCAGTGCACATTCCCCCATCACTGCATGACCTCAAAGGTTTTTGCTTTAATTGAAAGGGATCTTACTGATGTACTGTAGACTCTGTGTCTATCATTTCATCAGTTGCACACTATTTCTGCAGTAACAGAAACATAGATGTTTTGCCAGACAAATTATTTTAAAAAGAACTCTTCATAGAGGGGTGCTGGAACGAGTCCTAAAATCTGGAAATGATTCACTATTTTAATACTTCCCGTCCCATTGTAGAAGTCACAAACATTTTGAATGGTGCCTGAGTTGACTTCTGTGGTTAGAAATGTTCATGTTTTGTTCTTCAACATAAAATCTGTCAATAAACACTCCACTGGTAAATGTCTGGAACTTCAATTTGTCATAAAAACATCAGCCACCTTTTAGCTTTGCGGTGGTGACGTGAAGTCATGTGACCGTGATGTACTGTAGTTTGTTTATAGCCTAATGTTAGATTTTTGCTTCTGTCAATTGCATTTACGCCTCAAAAACATAAGGTGGTATATATGCAAAGATTACCTGCTTAATAAAACATGTAAGTATCATAAACGTTTGTTCGACACAGATCTTATTTTCTGCTATACTCCAAAATCCAATGGACAAATCCCTTTGCTTTTAGTTGAGGGAGCCCTTGGGATGCTGACTTCCGGGTATGCTTTTAGAGAAACAGCTTTACCGCACCACTCTCATACTACGTTAAACATCTTTCTGTGGAATGTAACCTTCATATGAAACAACACATTGTACTTGATTGGCTAAGGGGCGGGACATCCGACACATCTGACACATCTCTAACGGTTGACCAATTTCAACGGAGGCGGCCAGATAACAGAGCAGACTGGGCTCTGGTTTCAGACAGAGGGTGAAAAGAGGTGCTGCAGCACAGGGAATAGGAGAAAAATAAAGAGCTTTTTAAAAATTAAAGCATGGAGACATGTCACAGTAGAGACACACAATACAAATGATGAACCTGAAAATAAGCATTACATGCTGTCTTTATTGTGATATCTACTGTACTGTATGATGAGCAAGAAATCTTCACAGCCTCTACTGTGTGAATAAATAAATGTCCTCTCCCAGGCAATTATATGCTGCCAGTTGATGCTCTGTCCTTTTAATGTTGAATCTTGATAATATAATGAAACGCCTTAGTTGAAAGAGATATTACTGATATACTGTAGATTCTGTCTTACATAAGTTTATAAAAAAGAACTCAGATCAAGTATAAGTGATGCTTTATAGTTGTACAAATCACAGCATTAAGCAAAATTGTGTCTGGCACTTACACAAAGAATGTTCACCCTTTACAAGTAAAAAACAACAACATTTAAAGAGCAACTTGCAGGTTTTTTTTTTTACTACATTTATGCTTAACCTTGCCTGAAAATTACAATTAAAAATGTTAATGCAGGATTTGATATGTTTTACAAGACATAAGGGCAGGAATTCAGAGGGAAAGGAGCCGTTTTGAGCTCTGCTACTAAAAACTGCTTTTTTTTTTAAACGTCATACGTAAAACGCGCCATATTACTTCACATGGGGGAGCAACTTTCTCGGACTCGTTCTCTGCCCAATCCGCGGTAGTAGTTTTGTAGTTGGTTTGAGCGGTTGTGATTTAGTGAGCTGGTATTTTTTCTCGGTAATTTTACATTGCATTTCACCATTTGTAATCATGGTGAGCTTGTGTTTGTGCAGGTTGCACAAACTCAAGCCTGTTAGGGCATCGAGTCCACAGTTTCCCTCACGGGAAAAGAACCGGAGCGAGCGTTCGTTCCTGGGTGCGTTGTGCATCCACCTCCCTGCAGCACATACTCCGTCTCCACAGCTTTATCAAGAAACCGTATTACATCTCTCTCCCCCCCTTCGCTGCTCTCTCTCTCCCCTCCGGCGCTGCTCTGTCTCCCCTCCGGTACACGGCACCGTAAGACGTAGTGTTGAGTTGCATTAGGTAACGCTGTGGTGGCTGTACTGCTCCAGCCGTCTCCTTTGTGTTTGTTTGTTTCCCCCTGTCTGTGTTGTTTGTGTGGGCGTGGTGGCTTTCACTCCTGGCTCCCGGCTCAACCTCCACTCACCTGCTGCAATCAGCTGTGCACCCTCCCCGACTACACACC